TAAGCAGAAAGGTTAAAGAGTGAACATATCCAAAAGTGATATTTAAATTATAGGTGATGTTTGGAGGTCTGTATTGCTTGGAAGCATCTAATAAGTCTTGAAACTCCATCAACAATATTTCCCTGCATTCCCACCCACTTTTCTAAATACCTGCCACATCTGTTGTGTTTTTCATATTGTATATTGCACATCAACCTGGGAGAATGGTATCCCTTGTAATCTTAGCAGCAAGGGTGCAGCTAAGAAACCTAACCCATCCACATAAATGGCTGGTCAGGAGCAGCGCTGATGCGGTGGACATCTCTAAAATGTCCCAACACATCTGCTGCCTGTTCATGCTCCCTACAGTACAGTAATAAACAAGATGTCATTTCCTGCCATCATTGTTTACTACTATGAGCTCTGTGATCAAAGAGATCACATGGTACAAGATCATTCACAGCCCTCTTGTGCCATGTAATAAGCTGTGACCAATTACACCTCTCACAGTATTTCTCAATGGGTGCAGGAATGCAGCCAGAGAGTGAGAAATAATTGCTTTTACAGCCAACATGGCTGTAAAAGCAACCACAGTGTAAAAAATAAAATAAAATCCTGATTATCTCCCACAAGTAGTATAGTGTCAGTATGTATTGCTAGGGTGATTTGTAAAAAAAACAATGAACACATAAATGAAAAAATAAATGCAATTATTTTTTTTTACCAAAAAAGTTAGCAGAATTCATTTTGGCCTAGAGTTATAAAGAAAGATTATTTATTTGCAAAATTTTATAAGAAAACACATTTTATTTAAAAAAATGTCTGTCTTTTTTCCATTTATATAGCAAAAAAAAAGAAAAAAAAAGTGGTGATTAAATACCACCAAAATAAAACCCTGTTTTCAAAAAATTATAAAAATTGAATATGGGTACAGTGTTGCTTGCCTGAGTATTTGGCATTCAAACTGTGAGAGCGTTGAAAGCTAAAAATTGGCCTGGACTGGAAGGGATGAAAGTGTCTTAAAGTGGTTAAGAGATCATATAGAAACCTACAGTGATAGATAAATAGCAATTCAACAATTCATACTAATAATGTTAACCATCTTGCCTAATATTAACTGTAAGAAAGAGAAGCCTCATAAAAATTTAAGAAGTAACTGTCTTTGTTCTCTATAGTTATTGTCCAGAAATATTTTATCCATACAGGAAATTAAAGAATTTCAGTATTCATGTTTGCAAACTTTTTATTTGAATATAAATAGAAAATATGTATACATTCCAAGTATACAGTATAACAGAGAGATATTATAGTGCATTCAACACCTGTGAGCATAAGTACAAAGTAAGAAGAATAAAATAAATTGGAAAAAAGACCAAAAGTATATGCTCATGAAACTCATGTACAAAGGAGTATAGTGCATACACTACCATAAATGTACACCGGCCTAGTGGAGTTAAAAAAAAAAGTAAATGATAAACAAGATCTAAGAAAAATGACAATATGTTGTGATTGTCTTTAATCAGAGGTAGCAAATCAATACATGAACAAGGGATCCCATTTGTCAAAAATCTGAGGCATGGAATCATGAATAGTATGGAAAATCTTTTCCATTAATATAATGGAATCTACATTTGTAATTACCCATGAAAAAGAAACCAAAGATGATTTGCCATAGTCAGACTTACAGGTGTACTTACTTGCCTGGTATATAGATTGGAGACTTTCTGCTCTAGTGGAACCAGTTTCTTACATGCCCAAAATATATGTACAAAGGAGTCTGAGTAAGAACAACCATGGAAGCAGGAGGGAGAGAATTTTGGGTAGATATAGTTCAATTTAAGGGGAGTAGAGTACCACCTCATGAAGATTTTGACAGCAGTTTCTGCAGTGTCTAATCTGTAAATAATAAAGATATTCAGAGTCTGGGGTTGATTCCAAAAGTCACAAAATCATAATCTGCCTGAAAGCTAAAAAAGGGTCCCTTGTGCTATCTGGGAAAACCTTGAAACTAAATAATAGAGCCACATCTGAGGAAGGCTTAAGCCACCTTGTTGGTGGGCCCAAAATATAGCTAATCTGGCAAATCCTGGAGCTTAATTACACCATATAAATTTATTTCATATTTATTGAATGAAAAGCATCTATAAAGCTAAACTTGACTGAGGAAGTTTCTAGAAAAGATAATACAATTTTTTTTTGATCCAGTACTTATTGTGTAAGACACCAATATTTTCCACTAAAGGTGCTTATCTGATCTATGATTCATGTGAATCAGCTTAGTTTTTATGTTTAAAGTATGAAGTAGGGAACGTTAATGTGATTGTAAAGGCTGAAGGTTTTTTTCTATGCATGAAGGTAAAAAAACCTTCTGTGTGCAGCAGTGCCCCAGCCCCCTCAATACTTACCTGAGCCTCATCATGATCCAGGGATGTGAATGACAGCCTCGGCTGTCCCGGGTCTCGGCCTTCTCAATAGCTGAGACAGCAAGCAGGAGAAATTGGTTCCCGCCAATGTCAATCACAGTCAGTCAGCCAATGAGGAGAGGGGTGTGAAAATAACTATCTAAGCTGCTAAACACTTCTAAATAAGCTCTGTGAGCATGTTTATGACTGCCGGTAAAAGCAGAGATACGTTTTTAAGCTAGCAGTACCACCTTCAAACTCTTCCTGTTAAAATTTCCAAATCTCTCAAATCTCTTTAAAATTTCCCAAATTTGCTAGATGACTGCAGAACACATTGTCAGCCTATGTCTGTGTCTGCATGTAAACACATGGATATGTTTTTGGAGCAGTGAGCACTAAGCAATGTGGTAGATTATGGGGTATTTGTATGATTGGAAGTATATCTGTAAAATACTGTATGTTTTTGAGGGTATATGCTTGTGGTGGTAGGAATTCCTGTGGGTCATATTTTATCTCAGTCTAACTAGCTTTCTATTGTGATAAACTTCCTGACCAGTTGGGACAGTGGCTAGACTGTACAGAAACATCTGTAGATAATTTTCTTCAAAATAAGCCTTTTTATTTAGCAACCACTAGATTAAGGATGCACGTGTACATGATTATTTTATTGATGTAGGGATAAACAAAGGGCTCATCAGGCCAGTCAACCACTTCAATATTAGGTATCATTCACATGGGCGTACTGATCAATACACCTGTGCAGAAGGCCATGTTTATGCATGCAATCAGACTGTTAAATTTAATAGTGGGGGATGGCATTCACACATCTATACATTCACCCCTGGATGTATATCTATGCGGGCTGCATGGCTGAGAATGCAATCTGTCTGCAAAGTTACAAAACAAAATCCACCTAACTGCCTGTAGTGCCTCTCCTTTGCTAGCTAGAAAGACTTGGGGGATATTTTTTCTAAGATAAATCAATATATGAAAACTATGATTAGTGTTATTACTAATGTCATGTGATACTTGCCAGGACATTATTATTATGATTATTATTATTATAATTATATACAGGATTTATATAGCGCGAACAGTTTACGCATGTTTTATGGCTTTATAAGTTGTTGTAAGTATCTTGAAATTTGTTCATTGGGTGACATGTTTTGTTTTATTGTTTGTTTAGAAATATTCCAACACTGAAAAATTAAATTAAAAAATAATATATTTTTGTCACTTGGGGGCACTTGCTATAACTTGTTCCTTCGTTTATCTGCAGTATTTTACTGTATGTAAACCAGACTTCTCTGTTTTGCTCCTTTTTGGTCTGTTAAATATGCCATTGGTGTTGTCAGTCCACAACGGGACTTAGGGTGCATTTTTTTCAAAGTAGCAGTTATTTTTCTGTACTTGCAGGGATTTTAAAGAGATATAATGGGGCACACATGCATGTAATGAATAATGTAGGTTTTTATTTTGCCTTGTGACACTGGAATGAATTACATTAGGATCTGAAAATGAAATAGTGTATGTCTGGGTGTAATTAAGATCCCACAGTGATCAGGCTGAACATGGGCACAGAAAATGATGTGTGGCAGTATTTTATTTGGAATTATGAAAATTACATGACATGTAAGTTAGAAGTAAAATCAAAATAGTTTTCTGTCTATAGCTACTGATGTACACATTTAACAGTGGCCATGCTAGCAAATTCATTGAACTATAAATCTCTATCTAATTAGCTACATTTTTAGCATTAAGCATAAGGTTGGTGGAATAAATATAACCTTTCCAGATTGAAATATTATCTAATTTTTCTTATATCATGTCAATGTTTATAAAGTAAAGGCCTGATCTCTATGGAGATAATGGTGATATTTATCTGAAAATGTCACCTGTGAAGGGCACATCTTACAGCAAGCAGAAAAAGTATAAAATAGAAAAAAAGAAATTTGTCTAATTTACCTAATTACTGAACTTAAAGAGGCATCCTTTAAAATGTTCCACTGTACAAAAAGGAATAGATCAGACTCATCAACTATGAACATATGTGTTTTGTTGGCTCCTTTAAACTTAAAATAGAAAATAAATTAAGATTACCGTATTTTTCGCACCATAAGACGCACTTTTTTCCCCCCCAAAAAGGGGGGAAAATGTCAGTGCGTCTTATGGAGCGAATGTAAAGCGGCCGGTCCGGTATTTCTGCCGCCACCATGTCAGAATACCGGGCCGGCCGCTCAGCTGTTCTCTCCTGCAGGGCCTTACCTGTTCCTCGCTCCAGCGCTGCACAGTCTTCCCGCGCTGGCTTCTGTGACAGCCGGGTGCCCACTGCGCATGTGCTGCGCTTTGTGAATGATCCGGTGTCTTCTGGGACACATGAAAGGTCACAGAAGGCGCCGGGCCATTCACAAAGCGAAGCGCTTCTTGCACCTGCGCAGTGGGCACCCGGCTGTCACAGAAGCCGGCCCGGGAAGAAGAGGGAAGGCAACTCCGCGGAAGTGGGAGCGGGTACCTGTCAAATTCAGGTACCCGCTCCCCCTCCCTCCCCAAAGGTCAGCAGTCTCTGGTCATCCCCTTCACGTCTGCAGTCTCTGGTCATTCCACTGCACTGTCCGCAGTCTCTGGTCATTCCCTGCACTGTCTGCAGTCTCTGGTCATTCCCTGCACTGTCCGCAGTCTCTGGTCATCTCCTGTACTGTCTGCAGTCTCTGGTCATTCCCTGTACTGTGTCCGCAGTCTCTGGTCATCCCCTGTACTGTCTGCAGTCTCTGGTCATTCCCTGTACTGTCCGCAGGTCTCTGGTCATTCCCTGCACTGTCCGCAGTCTCTGGTCATTCCCTGTACTGTGTCCGCAGTCTCTGGTCATCTCCTGCAATTCTGTGTCCGCAGTCTCTGGTCATCTCCTGTACTGTGTTCCGCAGTCTCCTGGTCATCTCCTTACCTGCACTGTGTCCTTCCGCAGTCCCTGGTCATCTCCTGTACTGTGTCCGCAGTCTCTGGTCATCTCCTGTACTGTTTCATCAGTCTCTGGTCATCTCCTGTACTATGTCCGCAGTCTCTTGGTCATCCCCCTGTACTTTGTCCACAGTCTCTGGTCATCTCCTGTACTATGTCTGCAGTCTCTGGTCATCTCCTGTACTGTGTCCTCAGTCTCTGGTCATCCCCTGTACTATGTCTGCAGTCCATTGGTTTCAGAATATTTTTTTTTTCTTGTTTTTCACCTCTAAAACCTAGGTGCGTCTTATGGTCAGGTGCGTCTTATGGAGCGAAAAATACGGTATTTATGAGAGATAATCAAGTTTCGGTTTACATTGGTGGAATCTTGAAGCTTAGTAATTCACATAATGCAAGAAGTATATCTAATATTGCAAACAGACTGCTTCAATTTCATTTTAACATAAAGCTTGGACCAGTAGTGTGTTATATGTTAGAGTTTGAGGTTTAGTTTGAACTTAAATCAAAAGTAATTATAATAACAATGAATAACATGACTAATAATTTAAACAATAAGTTTCATTTTTCTGCATAATTTAATTTTCCTCCTGGAACCCTCATACCCTTTATCTTTCCCATTCTATCCTGCTATGCTCACTCTGTCTTTCTCCATTTCTAGCCCACACCACACAATGTATACTTTTTCTGCACAAATCGCCCACTTTCATTCCCTCCACAACACTCTTCTGGACATTCTGTCCACTGTCATCTCCTTCTCTCCTTAGCATGTTACCCCCCTTGTCATAACTTCTGCTATCCTCCACTTACTGCCCACTGGCATACCCTCCAAAGTGCTCTCTTGCATATTCTGTCTGATTTCATACTCTGCACTCCTCTCCTGGGCATGTTACCCACAATAATACCCTCTACAGTCCTCTCCTAAACATGCTACTTACTATCCTATGCTACACACTTCTTTCCTACACACATACGACCCCATGCCATACTCTACACACTCTTTTCATGCCAATACCTCTGTGTTATACCATGCACATACTACCCTCAGCCATATCATCCACACGTCTCCCCTGCATGTACCGTCTGCTGTCATACCATCCACAATCCTGACCTGCACATACCGCCTGCTGCCATATCCTTTCAAACCTCCTTTTCACATAATGCCTGCTGTCATGCCCTGCACACTGCTTTCATGCACAATATCATACCTTACACACTCTTCTCCTGCACATACTAACTACTGTCATACCCTTTGCACTCCTCTCCTAAACATGCTACTTATGTCCATACCCTCCACATGCTGTCTAGTGTCAAACCCTACACACCTCTCCTGCAAATACTACCCATTGGCATACTCTACAAACCTCTCCCCTACATATACTGCCTGCCATCATATCTCCTGCATTCCTCTCCTACACATACCACCTGCCATCATACCCTCTGAATTCCTCTGCTGCACACACTTCCCACAGTCATTTTTCCACTCTCCTCTCCTGCACATACTGTCCACTCTCATACCTCCACACCTCTATCCTACACATACTTGCTTCTGTCATACCTTCTGCACCCCTCTACTGCATATCTTACTTACTAATAAGAGTTGTTCAACAATATAATTTCACCAGCTCTGCTTGTTCTTTGTTAGTAATATTAGGGAAAAAAACTCTTCTAGTATCTAGGAAACAAACCTCACTGTATTCCTGGCAAGTATTAACAAATTAATGGATTGATTTTTGGGCTGTTCATTGAACCCATTGTAAATTCCAAAAACTTTTAACTTTAATCCCATTGAAGTCAGTGGATTGTGACTCTTGACAATTAATGCTGGTTATTGTAAAACAATGTGTTTGGAGAAATAGGAACTCCCTTGGGGGACATGCACCAATTAAAAAAAAAAACAAAATACCATTCAGCAGGGAGAGGGCCCTCCATCTTTATGCAACTTAAAGGGTTACATTGGAAAAACAGCAATCCTTTCAATTACATGCTTGGGAGATGCCTTTAAGCTGTATATGGTGTTATAGAACAACATAATTTTTAAAGTCAATGACACTGTATGCTCTCATCACATCATTTATATTTGTGATATATTTTTTTTTAAATTTTACATTATTGCTTGGCCTGAATATAGAAATAGCAGTAGCAGCAGAAACCCAATCTGAATCATAATTTTAGCTAGGAAAAAAAAAAACTGTTTTTTTTTTTTTTTTGTTGTGGATGAAACACCTGACTTATTTAACCAGCTTATTTAGACATGAATTGACCAGAGGGAGTAGCAAGCCAGTAACAGATATAAAAACAATAGGAAATATGAAAAACAAAGTTTAACCATTTTTTTCTGTTTTTGCACACATTTAATGTACATTTTTGGGCTGAAGATTAGTTAAAACCCCTAAAACATTATATATCTTCTGAAAGCAAAGACTCTGTTAAACTAAAATGATGGTAGTTGCAGATTTTTATGTCATGTTAAATTAGTGCACTTGTTTATCAAAATCAAATTTCTATTAAAAAATATTATATACTGTACACTGGGAGAGACACCGCTCTAGGTGGGTGTAAGTAGGATCCACACAGCATGTCTACCACAAATAAGCTCTATGGAGCATGAAACACATTGGTGAGCAAACATCCTTAGATGGCAGGCATGCCCTCTCACCTCCTTGCTGCGATGTGGTGACGCACTTCCGGCGGAGCGCCATCTTGCTACACCAGGTTTACACAGTACACCCATACTGAGTGGTGTGACAAGCCTTGTTTGATCTGCGTTAATAGTGATTTATATTGGAAGGAAGTGACCAGTGAGGTTCAGTGGAATCAGAGCGACATGGAGAGTTGGTACCTGTAGGATCCAGAGTGATCCAAGAGGCGTGTTGACCCTTTTGGGTCGCAGCAAGGAGGTGAGGGGGCATGCCTGCCATCTAAGGATATATGCTCACCATCTGCACCAGCACTATAGCACGTGGTTTGAAGATATAGGCACATTTTGGCAATCATTGCCATCTTTGCTATTCTTGGCAATTTGTTGGACACTTTATCGTTTTATGCGTTTATGAAGTTTATGTTTATATATTGTGTTTAACATTATTCACTAGTCACTTTATTTGGTTTATATCCCAATTTTGGGATACACTTTATATATATCATTCACTTTATTTGTGATCATATCCCTTATTTTGGGATCCACTGTATATAGCACCTAGTCTTTTGGGGTTTGGTCCCAAGTGGGACTGGGTATTGTCAGTGTATGAGGGTCCGGGCATAGGACCAGCTTTATCATATGCACTTTGTGTACTGTTAATATTACAGTTTGATAGATCTATCACTTATATATTTATATTAATTCATTTATGTGATTTATGTTTTTTATCTTATTATTGTGGAGGAGTTTGCACATTTAGTTAATAGCGCTACACCATTATATTTTATCACTAGTATTTAAAAAAAGATGTATGCATTATTAAGGCAGAACTACACTGCATCTGAGCACCACAAGTCAAAAACGCTATTTAATTTTCTATATTCAAAGCAAACTCCTCCATCCATCTATGCCTCCAAGCTTTATTTTGCTGAGAAATCATTTTGCAAAACACCCTCTAGCATTTTTGCTTGTGGCCATCTTGAGCAAGGGAAGATGATGCATGTAGAATTTATGGTTGATAATTGGTAATATGTGGTTGACAATTGGTAAATTGGTAATATGTGTGAAACAATGTAGCAGTCCCTTAAAGATGCTAGTACCAAATGTCTCTGGAGATATAGACCAGAAATATAGTCCTCTAGGCATCACACTATGTTTTCCTAAAGAGTAACTGATAAAGGATCCTTTGCTTAGGTGAAAATGATTAAGTTGCTGCTATGATGGAGTGAATATTTACACTGGCATGTTAAGATCCAAGCAATGAGGCTTGTACAGAGACAATTCCACATGGCCTGGTTGTGATGGCAATAAGTGGTACAAAGCCCATAGTATATTGAGGCTATGAGTGGATGACCTGTTTCCATTTCATCAATTATTCAAAGGCTGTTCTGATTTTCCATTAGATTGGTGCTGGGAGGCACAGGAGGATTCTATGGGTTACTCTGATGAAGAGAGTGACTGGTCCTCTAGTAAGATCGTTGTGAGCTCTCATGCCTGCTCCAAATGTCATTAGGAGATTATTTTACTTCCCAAGAACTTCCTGAGGGTAAAATGGCTTTAGATGTCCCAGTAAAGTGATGGGAGTCCCTGACCTGACATCAGGGGCTGACAGAAAGCAGCTTTACAGGGGAGTCTGCTATTGAGATGTAGGTGTGCATAGTCCTTTAAAAATGGAGCCAACTAACAGGTCTGCCCACAGAAGTGCTTAGTACTATTTATTTTCAGTTAAGCACCAATTTGAACAGGACCACCAACAGCCATTTTTAAATTTAGGAATTACAGTTAGAGGTTGATTTATTTCACTTCAAAAAGCCCACAGAGGATTATTGTCCCTATTTTCCCAGTATTAATTTGTTGAGTTTGATTTGAACAGAACCCCAAACAGCTATTTTTACATCTAAATATTATCATTGTAGAGTCATATATTCCCAGTGAAAGGCCTACAATGGTTTGTTGTGACTGCATTCAGTTGTTTTTACAACCATTTTTACAGCTGAATCCATATTTCAGTGAACTTTAAATAGTTCATTTGGACCAAGTATTCATTGTCAAGAAGGCTTTTGGACAGACTTGGTGGCTTTGGTTGGCTAGGCCTTGCACCTAAAGGAAGGTCTGAACTTAGATTTTGAAGTTGAAGTCTGGTTAGAGCAGACAAGTGCTCTGCATTTATAGAAGCTTGGGGCTTCAGAGGATGATGGTTTGGGACCTTCTGCTGTGGAAATAAAACATTGCACTCTGTGACCTCTTTGGTGAATTGGTCAATTGCCTAACCAAACATCCTTGGAAAGGCATACTTGTGAAGCACTTTTCAGGCAACTTCAGATGTCCATGCTTTTATCCACAAGATTCTGTGCACATGAATAGAGAGATTAGAACCTTTCTGACAATTAGTCTCATTAAGTGCATCTACACAAAAAATCAGAGCAGAAGGCAATTGTAATTGCACAAACCTGAAATACAGTATCATGTTGGTTGTTCATTGTACTAGTCCAGTTAGCTGTAGTTTGACATGCTAGTGTCTTTAGGAACGTCTCAAACTTTTTCTTTCAATAGATGTTTTCAAAGTACAAAAGTACAAACATGTTCATATAAGTGTCAAAGGATGGGTGTGCCCTCAAGCAAGATCTTGGTCTAGTCTGTCTTAGGCTGGCCATACA